GGGGGGGGCTTTACCTGCAGGGCCTGGACCTGCCCCGTGACGCTGTGGTGCTGGTCCAGCAGCTGCTTCATGTAGGCGGCCATTCCTGGCAGGAGGGAGGGCGGAGGTGAGGCCGGGCATTGGGGAGGAGGAGGGGGTCATTCAGGGCCCGAAGGAGTGGCCATCCTGAGAGTGGACCCCCTGGGCCTAGGGGGAGTCCTGAGCAAGCAGGGGCCATGCTGCCCCCACCCCTCCTGGCTCTCCCCTTGGGTGCCCAGCTCCGACCCAGCCACAAAGCCAGTTGGCTTGGGTGGCCTTTCCGCTGGGCAGCTCAGCCGAAGGGAGGGGCGGACGGACCTGTGTCGGCAGCCGGGGCATCCACGCCCATGTTCCGGAGCAGCGATTCCAGCGCTTCCACCCAGCCCAGCACACTGTAGAGGATGCGGGCCAGGGAGGCTTGGATTCCTGACACCGGGGGGGCCAGGGGGCCCAGGCTCTGCAGCTGGCTGATGGCCCCCTTCAGGCTCTTGGCAGAGAAAGAGGCCTTCAGGAGCCCCTGGGGCAGAGAAAGGGGGGCGGGGGGGGGGAGGGGCTGCCTGAATGGGCAGGGCGGGAAGCAGCCCCGTCCCTCTTGGGGTCAGGAGGGATTCTGGGCAGGAGACACCTCCCCACCCCCCCAGGCCAAGGGACAGTTTCCGCTCTGCCCCGGGGTGGGGGGAGCGGGGAGGGGGCCGAAAGGAGAGAGCCAAGCCCCCCCAGGCTCATCAGGGCAGGTACTCCGGGGCAGACCTGGAATCCATCAAGCAGCTTCTTCAGCAGGGCCAGGTTGGATGAGAGCTTCTCCATTTCCAGGGCCTTGATCTGCACTTCCTTCTGCAGCTCTGCCTCCTTCTGCTCGGAGCCCTGCTGGCTCTCCTGCGCCTGACGGATTTCCTCAACAATCTGGCATTCGGGGTGGGGGAGGAAGGTGGGTGACCGAAAGAGGCGCCTCCAATCCTGCTTACGGGCAGTGTTAGGTCTAACTGAATAAGGATCCCGCCCTCCACGAAAAGGGGAGCCTGTTACCTGCTCATTGGTTAGAGCTTTCTCGGGAGGTTCAGGAAAGAGGGCCTTCGCCACCTGGCTCCGGAAACGCTGCGCCTGGGAGCAGCAGAGGTTAAATGGCAGGAGGAAGCCCCCCCCCCCCCCCCGCCCCCCCGGGCCACCCGGGAGCCAAAGGAAGGAAGACCCAAGGGAGGAGGGGGAATACGAGGCAGGCAGATGGGCGAGGGGCTCCCTGGGGAAGACCCCCGTGGGCGGGGGAGGGGCAGGAGGCGCACCTGGCGTACCTGAGCGGCTGCCTGCTCCATCTCCGAGCGCAGGAGACGCTCTCGGCGGCCCAGCTCCTGCACCTGCTGGGACCGCCTCTCTGCCTCTTGCTTCAGCTCCCCTTCGGCCTGAGACGGGGGTTGGGGGGGGGGAGGCGGGAAGAGTGAGGCCACGCAGCGCAGACCCCCGGCCCCAGAGGGCAGGCGCTCAGTTCTGGTCAGCGCCTCCAAGGGCAGAGCCGCCCTGCCCACTCACCCTGGTGGCTTCGGCCAGCCTCCGGGTCAAGGCCTCCTGCTCTGCGCAGCGTTTCTTCACCTCCTCCTTGGACTGGCCGGCCTGCAGCTCCAGCTCCGCGATCCGCTGCAAAGGCACCAGGAGAGGGGGTCAGGGGCCGGGCACCCCACTGGCCCTGACGGCCGAGGGACCCGGTTAGTGCGTAAGAAAGGCAGGGGGAGCCTTCCTGGGCGAGGCAAAATTAGGAGGCTCCAGCAGCCCAAAGTCAACGGTTTCCACCTTTGTGCGGATAAAAATAAAGTAGTGGAGGTCAGTTGTGGTCGAGACCCGATTTCTGCTTCCGTGATAAGGGCCAGAGGACGGAGGACAAGACGACGACTCAAGTGGGCAAGGAGGGGGCCGGCCTTTTTAAGCGGGAGCCCTTCTGAGCGGGGGAAGAAGCCCTGGGAGAAGCAGCCGGATGTCCAAGTGAGCCCAGCTGCCCTGGGCTGGAGGAGAAAAGGAACCTGACCAGGGCATCCAATATGGGGAGGGATATGGGGCTCTCTTCTCTGGGGGTGGGGGGGGGCTTCTGAAGAGCTGCGGCTGGGCGCAGGCGGAAGGATCGGAGGGCTGACTCACACTCTGGTGGGCACTTAGGTCTCTGTCCCTGAGTTCCCGCTGGGTCTCCGCTTTAATTCTACAGCACTGGAAAGAACAGCAGGGGAGGGAGGGAGGGAAGGAGGGAGGGAGACGCGGTCAGCCAGCGACGGAAAGGCCCGGCACAGGACACACACATACCCACCCACCCACCCACCCACCCTGAAAACCCAGGGAGAAGGCTGGGGTTCCTCCAGCCACCCCACTCCCTCCCCAGGCCCCTCCGGACCAAGACAGGCGGGTGGGAAGGAGGCCGGTAACTGACCAAGCCAGAAGCATTAGGCCAGACTTGCCAGGGACCCCACCCCACCCCACCTTGAACACCCTGCAGGGCGATGGTGGTCTTATCGCAACAGCCCCTTTCCAGAGTCCACCATAAATAAACCAGCCTGGCTCCTTCTGGCTTCCTTCCTCCAACCCGCCCTTCTCCTCTCCTTTTTATTCCCAAACCCTTCCAGAATTGGTTTGGTGCTTCCGGGGGACCCGGGGATTTCGTTGGCCGTCCGTGGGGGTCAAACCCCGCAGCTTTTAAGAGGGACTTCTCCCCTTTGACCTGTAAAAGACTCATTCTACAGGAGACTAAGACAGCAGCCAAGGGGCTCCTTTGTCTGCCCAGGTGCTGAAGTGGCTACGGTGTGTGTTTTCCCAGGGAGGCGCCCTTAAACTGCCCTGTGAATAAAGCTAGCCGGTTCCCAATCGGTTTTCTAGTTCTGGGTACACACTCCGTGCAATTCGGCACATCCCACGACAAACATTAGCAAAGGCAACTGATAATTGCCGACACACCCATTTTAAAAAAATGACACAGCAGGAGAACTATTTGAAGCGTACAAGCATTTTGCTGGCTGGCTCCCGAGGGCTCAGAGGGTTTCAGCCTGCAGTCACAGCCATCTGCAACGAGCCAGAAAAAGTTCCCCGTTTGTGCCCTCAAGAGTTACCTCGGAAGATACGGGCAAATGTTGCTTTTAGCAATAGTTTTTGTATAACTCCCACCATAATAAAAGTTTTTAAAAGGATAATAAAGAAGACAGCGAGATGCTACAAATAATTAGATCGCTAAATGAATGTAACAGAACCTGTTTAAAACAGAATTGAAGGGATAAATCAATTCATAGCCTTACGAATGCATAGTTTTTCTACAAATGAAGTTTATCTCCAAAATGCTACAGCTAACCATTAAAGTCTATTTACTTGCTAATCCCAGGTTGAAGTTAAAATTAGTTGTTTCCCCATCAAAAATTTAGTTCTCTCCATATCCTTACTAAACCGGTGTCCTGCAAATCACTTGACGCGTTCTATGACGCCTCTGTCTCTGGCCTGCTTTTTTATTCCTGAAGCTGGACAGCAAAATAATCCCTTCCAGAACTTCAACAGCTGGAAAAGGAAACCAAGCTTGCCCGAAGGCACTTAGGATTTATTTCTTGGGAAAGAAAAAATGGGAGGCAACCCAGATGAAGAAAGGAGGCAGGAGGGAGAACTAGGAGGCAAGATTCCAGGAAGGCCTCAGCAGGGCAAGAGGACAACCCACCCCCCGCCCACCCCCCGCACCCTGAAAAGCCGATTGGACCTGCCCGCAGCACTGGCCCCGAGGGCCCCTTGAGCGCCTGCAGAGAAGGGGAGCTTCTGCGTCCAGAAGGGGACACCACATTCCCATTCTCAGCCCAGCGGGAGAAAGCCACAGGACCTGCAGGATCCACACTAGGGAAACACCGGAGGAGGAAGAGCGCTGACCTGGGCGGAGACATAGGCCAGCTGGCTGTCCTTCTCCCGGCTCTCCTGCCTCAGCTTCTCGGTCTCCGTTTTCAGTTGCTGGATGCGCTGCTCCTTCGAGACCACGTCCTTTTGCAAACTGGTCACCAGTCCTGCAGGGAGCAGCAAAGGAAATCCAAAGCCATCAGCTCAGCTGCCTCCAGCTTTGGGGACTTGGGGGGGGGGGGGGGGGGGGGGGGGGGAACCCTGCAGAGGGGGAAGCGGAGGGGGTGGGAGGCTGAGGGAAATGGGCTGTCAAACGCAGCGAGGAGGAGAAAGGCGGCCTCCCTTAGGGATCCCTTCCTCTCACTGGTTCGCGTTCTGACTGAAACTACTGCCCAGGAGACCTGCATGGAGCCAGGATGCTCTTGTTATGTGGGTCCCCCCCCCCCTTTTCTTCTTCCAGTTAGATCACCTCCCAGGCAGCCTTCACAGGTTTTATTGGGAAGGTTTTGCAGAAGTGGTCTGCCATTGCCTCCTTCCTGGGGCTGAGAGGGAGGGACTGGCCCAAGGTGACCCAACTGGCTTTGTGGCTAGGGAGGGACTAGAATTCCCCATCTCCTGATGTCTGGCCCGATGCCTTCACCACTGCACCACACTGCCTCTCCCTCCCCTGCTTTAATCCAGCACTGTTCTGGGACGATAAGCCTTCTTCACGGGGAGGGGGCAGCCACACCGAGGGACCGGAAACACCACACACACACACACCCTGCGGAAGGAGTGGGTCCCCTCTGTGAAGGAGGGTGACATCCAAGAGCCTCTCTGGGAGTCTTTTCCAATCCCCTGGCTTTCCTGGCGGGGCCCTTCCTGAGGCTCGCTCTCTATGGCCTGTCCCGCCTGTGAGATAGACGGCTGCAGCCATGCCATGAAGGAAGGCCTTCTTCCTCCTGGGTTCAGAGGGAGGAGGAACTAAAGGGAGCACAAGGCAGCGGGCGGCACCTGTGGTGAGCGCATGGCTCTTCTTCAGGGCTTCGTTCTCCTGCTTCCAGTGGGCGATTTGCAGGTCGCGGTCCGAGAGGGAGTGGTACAAGACTTCGCTGGTGTTTCTCTGCAGGCCGGTCACCTGGGAAGAAAAACATTGCAAGGGCAGCAAAAGAGGTAAGTGCCTCCTGTCCCTGGAAAGGAGGCGCTTGCACTGCCTGCACACCAAGGCACGCTTTGCCCACTGACAGGGAGAAGACGCACGCACGTACATACACAGAACAGCACCATCGCCACACCACACACCCCCCCCCCCCCCCCCCCCCCCCACACCTGCTCCTTCAGCCTCCTAATCTCTTCGGCCTTGGCTTCGGAGTCTTTGTCGAGGCTGGCCAGCTTCTGATGGAACTCGGTGTCCTTTTTGGCCAGGGTTACCACCACCTTCTCGTTCAAGGCCGAAATCTCGTGCTGGAGCTCTGCGATCAGCGTGTCCTTGCGGCTACACTCGCTTTCAAAGGCAGACAAGCGGTTGATTTCCTCCCCCAGTTTCAAAATGGTCTCTTCCTGCACAAAAAATTAAGTGAATAAACCAAACGAGAGAGGAAAAGGACCCTATTCTTCTTCTCCCCTCGGAAGTTTCCGGCTAAACCCTTCCGCAAATAATTCTCTAACTCCCTATATGAAAGCAGGAGCCAGAGGGGAGGAACCAATGGTCAGCCAGCTTCCTCGGGGGGGGGGGGGGGGGGGG